TTAGGGCTTAGGGCGTTTAGGGCTTAGTTTTAGGCCGTTTAGGGTTTAGAGCTGAGGGCATTTAGGGTTTAGGGTTTAGGGCTTAGGGGGTTTAGGGTGTAGGGTTTAGGGCTTAGGGGGTTTAGGGTTTAGGGTTTACGGCTTCGGGGGTTTTGGGTTCAGGGTTTAGGGCCCAGGGGGTTTTGGGTTTAGGGCGTAGGGCGTTTAGGGTTTAGGGTTTTGGGCTTGCTCAGGGCGTTTAGGGTTTCTGGAACCCAAAACGACAAAACTCCAGACGCCTGAGTGTCAGCCTTAGCCTACAAAACGTGACACCCGAAAATCTAACTTTCGAAACCCCACACCTCTACTCCACGAAACCCTTAAACCTCTAAGCCCTAAACCCTAAACCCTAAACCCTAAACCCTAAGCCCTAAACTACAAAAGCCTGATCACCAAAAAAGGGAAAATCCTCCTTATTGCAGCTGAAGTCACTGGGTGTGCTCGAAGGTACGAAGACCGGGCCCTGTGTGTAGAGGTGCCTTCAGCTCCGGGGTAAAGGTTCAAGGTTTGTGTCCAGGGTTGAGGCTTTAGGCTTCAGGGTTCAGGATTTTGGATTTAGGTTTAGGTTTTGGGGTTTAGGATTTGGGCTTTAGGATTTAAGGTTTAGGGGGAGCTTGCAGGTTTGGGCGGGTTTTGAACCTTTAGGACGGCCCAACCCTAAACCTGTTTTGGGGTTTATTGGGGTTTAGGCTTTAGGGGTTGGTGGGGCTCTAACCTTCGAGCTCTTTTGGATGGGTCTACAGTGAGTGTAGGATGCCTTCCGGCAAAAGGTCTGTGACAGATAGGGTTTTGGGGATTTCAGGGCTTTAGGCCTCAGGCTTCGGGGCTTTACGATTTGAGAGGGTTCAGAGGCTAAAAGAAACGGAGCCTTTGGAGGCTCGGGGTCTAAGGTTGTGGATTTTGGGTTTACCCCTAAACCCCTAAACCCCTAAACACCAAACCCTAAACCCTAAACCTTAAACCCTAAACCTTAAACCCTAAACCCTAAACCCTAAACCTTAAATTATTAAACCCTAACCCCTAAACCCTAAACCCGGGTGTGTGGTTTTTTATAGAATGACATGGGCATCAAGTGCGGAGCGCGATTTCGTGCAGATGAGCTCCCGGGTTCGAGCTGCAAGGGTTCAGGGTTCAGGGTTCAGGGTTTAGGGTTTAGGGTTTAGGGTTTAGGGTTTAGGGTTTAGGGTTTAGGGTTTAGGGTTTAGGTTTAAGGTTTAGGGTTTAGGGTTTGGTGTTTAGGGGTTAGGATTTCGGATTTAGGGTTTGGGGTTTGGGGTTTAGGGTTTAGGATTTCGGGTTTAGGGTTTGGGGTTTAGGATTTCGGATTTAGGGTTTGGGGTTTAGGGCTCGGGGTGTAAAGCTTGGGGTCTAGATGGCGTCCCAGGCACATGTCTGCGCGAGGAGGAAACTCGCCGAAGATCTCACCATCCTGCCACACGGCGCTTCAACCATGAAATCGCACTTTGTAGCTACGGCTACTTGGCCTTGCCTGAATAATTAGAATAGGGTTTTGGGGCCCATTATACTATGATTATAGTAAGGAACCCCAAAATAGTGTTGGTAATTATTTGGGCACCTATATTAGGCTTGCTCGAAACTCGAAAGCCCACGACACCAACGTCGAAGAGCAGATTCAGCTAAATCCTAGCCTAGATGCGAGACGAAGACAAACAAATCCTCAAACCCCTAAACCCCAAAAACTCCTCTGACCTCTTAAATTGGTCCTCGATGCCCTATTAACGAAAAGCTGGCCTAGTAGAAAGGCGACCTATGCCCTGAAGCCTAAACCCTAAGCCCCAAGTCCTCAATCCTAAGCCCGACAGCAAACCCCAAGTCCTCAATCCTAAGCCCTAAACCCCAAGTCCTCAATCCTAAACCCTAAACCCCAAGTCCCCTAAACCCCAAGTCCTCAATCCTAAGCCCTAAACCCCAAGTCCTCAAAAACCCCAAACCCTAAACCCTAAACCCTAAACCCAATGCCATTATGTCATGTCCCAATTGCCGGCCTGCGGCCGCGCTTGCGCCGTCAGCGCCGGCCGGCCGGAACGGCCGACACTGTAGATGGCCTTGGGAACTGGGCTTTAGGGTTTAGAGTTTAGGGCTTAGGGTTCAGGGTTTAGGGTTTAGGGTTATTTAGGGTTCAGGGTTTAGGGTTTAGGGTTTAGGGTGCAGGGTTTAGGGTTTAGGGTTATTTAGGGTGCAG